CTCTCAGGTTTTGAGTGTAACAGGATTGTGGAAAAGAATTCTGAACCGGAGACTCTCTCTCTCTCTCTCTCTCTCTCTCTCTCTCTCTTACACGCAGAAAACTTGGCTCTGATCCTATCATGTAATTAGAGCATCCAAATCAAAATAACTATGGTTGGAGAGACCCAAGAATGTATGCACATCGTGCAAGGCTTCACATTCTGGATGTGGGATTTACACTCTCAACAATTATCATATGTCTCCACAGTACTAGACTTTTATGATCTTTTATCGCTTTGTTATATATAAGTTGAATTAAGGTCCTGAAGTTTCTAAGTTATTCCCATGCATCTCTCTTCGTAAATGCTTGCTTTTCCTAATATTTTTTCTAGAACTTTAATTTAAGTGACAGAGAAACTATCTACTCCAGACAAAAATTCTTATGCATACGCAGACAAAATTCTTCGTTAATGCTTTAGTTTGCAATCATTCTTTGTTTCATTAGTTTTCATATAGGTTTTAATGAAGTTTGTATTACTCTGGCAGTGCTTTAATCAATATGCAGCGAGGTTCAGTGTACCCAATGTCTACAAGATCCAGATATACATTGCGTTATTTTTCAATGCTTCACTAGGACTTGCTAATACTATGGGATATTCTTATTTTAGGGTTTAGGGTCTTATTTAGACTCTTTGTCAGTGCTCTTGGTTATGATTCTTGCTCTTATAGAAAAATTAGAACTTTTGAAAGGGATCGATTGTGGACTTCAAACAATTTTTATACATATTTGATGCTCTAAATTCTATTTGGAATGTCATTATTGGTAACTCATTTATTTAATTATTGTTTCTTGTTTACCTTGCTACATTTTTTGTACTTAATATTGGAGTTTGTGCAGGCGGAATACCTTTGCCAATATTTTCTGAGTGGTGGTTGTCCAATGAAAAGTTTTCAGCAATTGATTCATTTGTCTTCTCATCATTTCCCGGTGCAATATTCCAAGGCTTCAATGGCCTGAGTGCTAAATATCAGGTAAAGTTTATCTTGAATTAAAGTTACAAATAGTAATTCTTGTGGAAGATTTATTTATATATTTTTTAATCTGTTTGGATTAAGTTATCCAAGTGCTATGCACTAAACTATAGAATGAAGGTTGGCCCACCTGCTAAAGTGTAAGCTTTTGGGAGAAGTAAGCCAATATATTTATAATGATAATGAAGTAGGAGATCCAGATTCAATTCAACTGAGTCTGTAACCAACCAATTAGTAGGCCACATAGGAACAAGAATAGTGTGTGTGTGTGTGTTGCGCACATTGTGCACGTGCCACTCATGTTGAAATAAAAAATAGCTTTGATGGTAGGTGGGTTGATGTGTATGCGAATTCACTCAGGTGCCCAAGTAGTCTGTTTATTGATGGAATGAAATTTTTTTTTTCCTGAACTCGCTGATGGAATGGTTGAATGGTTGAGAGAGGACACGTTGTGAGATGGAAATGGGGAAGCTCTTGGCTTTAGTTATGTTGTTGTAAAACCTTTATGATTTTAGAGTTAGCATCCTTACTTTGCAGCATAATGGGAGATTCCTGTTATTGCATATTCTACTGGGTGTATAGTAGTATCAGCAGTTGAAATAGTTTTCCAAAATCTTGTTCGTGGTTAAATATTTACTGTTTTTGTTATTTTCAGGTACTATTACCAGACCTGTCCTTTACTTTCTTTTTTCCCCTTCACTGTTACCATCTCAGAAATGTTTTCAAATTACACTTTGGTGCATTCCCAAATTACACTTAGATATGTTTTCTTTTTTCCCGAATTGTTGATCTTTGGTTAGTGGGGGGCAAAAAGTTACGTCTCTTTTAATTGTTGTAGATTACAGGGGTATCTTATTTTCATGGTGGGCAATAAGCCTCTCTACTTAAGAATGGTCAGTAGGGAAAATGTGGAAAATGGGTTTACCTGTGGCTCCAAATGCCCGTACATGGAGTATGAGCACCATGTGTGATCATGTCTTTCATTGTATTGCTGGTGCACAGAAAATTTTGTAATTTATCTCAACTTTTGGCTTTTGTTGCAGTTGCCATACGGACAGGGCTTCTCACTTGCAGATGTCTTTGGACACCTCGAACAGAACAGGTGAATTCGTCGTACCTTCTTTCTTTGTTTGTGTTCCTTCTTGCCAAACCTGACCAGTGTTTATAATCTCTCCTTTTCAGATATAAACTTGGAATTGCAGAATACAGTATTAGCCAGTCCACTTTGGAAACCATATTCAACCATTTTGCAGCAAACTCATGAGAATCATCATCTACTGAGACAAATCTAATTCAAATAGTTTTACATGACTCATCAAATCGTCACTCGGCACAAGCACCGGCACAAGCGGCTCTCTTGTTTTAAAGTTGAGACCGCCATACAAGGCTCTATGTAGATATTAGAGACGGCATATTGTACATAAGTTAACTTTGGGGAAGTGTAATCTGTTAAAAAAACTAATGGGTCAACAATCGTACCTGTCATCAGTCATACGGGTGTGGGACTTGCAGCCCGCATCCTGTCTAGGATTGGCGAGTTGACTCTTCCAGAAGTGCATTTGAAAAATCATATTGTTGTGAACTCGTAGAAGATAGAGAGTTCCTTTTATTTGAGTTTTCATATACATTCACCATTGGGGAAATGAAATGCCCGAGGTTTCATATACATTAACCATTGAGGAATCAGATGTTCAAGTTGCCCAGGCTCTTCCATAGTTCTCTTTTGTTCCATCAGTCACATTATAATTATGTGGTAGTTTCATTTAGGACATTGCTTGGCTCCTCATTACACGTCGATCAGAGTCTGACACAGTCAAAAGTAACTTATTAAAATTACAGAAGCAAGTTTTCGCACACGTGTAAGACTTTGATTTGTTTGTAAGGATAAATGACTCTTTACATCCAAGGAGCCAAGTATTTTCCTTTCGTTTATTAACAATTGGGTATGACAATTAATTTAATAAGTGAATCGGCATATATATATATATATATAAAATGTGGTCCATAAGTGCTAAATGTGATTTAAAAATATGGGTTTTTTAAAATTACTCAGAAGAAAAGAAACTATATAATAGAAAAGTCTATAAGATTACAAATTATTATTTATTTGGTAGAAATAACATTGTACGTTATTCTTTATTATTTTATTATTAATAAAGTTCTATAATTTGAAAACTAATTTAGTTGGTTTTTTCTTCTTGATGAGTAGCAGATTAAATACAGGGGAAAAGGCACATGCATATTCCCACCGCAATAGCCGCGAGCTGCTCCAGCACCAGCAGTCTTGCCATATTTTTGCCTGCCAGCACAAATCATTGCAAGGCTTCTCTTGGTAGGGCTCGTCAATGGGCCAGGCCGGGCTAGCCCGACCCAAATTTAATGGGTTTGGGCCGGGCCGGATTTTTTTAGAACATTTAAAGCCCAAGCCCAACCCATGAGCCGGGCTTGGGAAAGCCCATCATGCCGGGCCGGGCTAAGCCCAATGGGTCGGGCCTAAAAGGGCCTACTTCATTAAAAAAAATCATAAACTTAATCATAAGGGCATTTTAGTCCAAATTTAAGATTAAACTCACTTAATTCCAATATTTTCACATCAAACCCAATTCATAAAACACTCAATAAAGTCACACAACTTAATAAGGTTTTCCATAAAAACAATGAAACCAAGTATTATTTTTAAGGTTATTACATAATTAGACCGTAATAAGTTTTAAGAAATAATTTTAAAAAATAATAAGTATAAAAAAATATTTTTTTAAAGGATGATATGAATAAATATGCAAATATTTGGTGATGTGTTAAAAAAAAAACATGATTATACTTGGTGGTACGATTATGTTTCATGATATGATTATATTTGGTGATGTGATATGTTGTTCATCTTATATATATATATATATAATTGTTGAATTAATAATTGACACAAATTAATGTGCTAATCATCCAATTATAAACTAGGAATGAGTAAAGAAAAGTAAATGAAATGAAAAAAATTATATATGTGATTTAAGTGATATAATCATAAACCTAAACTCTTATTTATACATAATTATATATGTATGCGGGCCTAACGGGCCGGGCTTTTGTGGGCGGGCCGGGCTGGGCTTTCTTGGGCTTAATCGGGCTGGGCTTATGGGTTGGGCCAGGCTTTAGTCACCCAAGCTTAGCTTGGCCCAAAGCGGGCCGGGCCATCTCTAAGCCCATAACGGGCTGGGCGGGCCCCCATCGGCCCATGAGCCCGCGGGCCAAATGATGAAGCCTATCTCTTGGCAATTACGCATGTACTCCATCTTCCCACAAGCACGAGTTGATTGTGCCACCGCTTCATCTCCTGCACCACTCAATATATTCAACAAACATAAGGCAGATAATGGTGAAACATTCAAAATACCAGAAAATGTCATTGGTTAATGCAAATATTAAAAATTGAAATTATTAATTAAATAAAGATAATATAGTAAATTCACACTTTTTCATATTTAAAAAAATTAAAATTAAATGAAAAAAAATCATATTTTTATGGAACACAACTACTCATTATCTTTTTTTAATTCTAAAATAAAATAAATTTTTTTTATAAAAAATAGCCTCTCGCATGTGCAGAAATGCGTGCGAAGAGACTAGATATAAAGCAACAAAATTATCAACGATCAATACAAATTTCTACTCTGACTTTTCCGCCACAAGTGGCCCTTTCAATTTCTTTGTTTTTCTATAAATATTCCCAAGCATTATATTAAAGAATAACGACCAAATTTTTTGCTGTTTTCTTTTTATAGTAAAAAGTATTTAAAAAAACAAAAGGGAGTGTAGGTAAATAAAAGAGGAATAGGAAAATCACCACCCTTTATGAATTATCAAAGTTCGGGCATCTGGGTTGTAAACAAAAAAAAAAAGTTTGGGCATCTGGGCTTGCTTACTTATAATAACCCAATTTGGTTCTCAGTCTTCTTATGGTGGACTTTTCTTTTGTCAAAACAAAGCTAGCCCATTAGTGAAACAGACCTAGGCACTAGCCCAAACGTCCTCCCTCCTCCTCTCCTCCTCCTCTTTCTTCTCTTCTTCTCCTCTCTCTCTGTCACGCCTCTTCTAAAACGGTGTATTGTAATTAGGGCACCTGACATCATCTTCTTCACGAGTTAGCCGCCTTCTTCTTCGCAGAGCACCAGCAACTGGAGATTGGCAGCAGCTACAAGCGCAACTAAGTTCTTTCCAATCCTTCTTCCTTCTTTTTGTTGATGCCGCCGAAACCAGTAAAAACCTAGCCTCTTCGAATCCAGGAGAAGAGGCTAAGTGTATTGCGAAATAACCCCCGCCGTATCCTTGATCGTATCTAGACTGTATCGCTCGCGTGTCCATGGCGTATCGAAGACTTATCGGATGTTCAACATAACAGAAAAGTCCACGATAAGCCGTTTGCCGTATCCGATACGTGTCGGAGGCGTATCGTATCGGAGGAGTATTCTGACCCGCGTATTCTTGCAACATAGGCCTCCGATTACAGAGACTAGGAGAGAGAGAGAGTGATGGAGAAGAGAGAGGGAGAAGGGGAAGGTGAAGAAGAGCAGGTAGTGAATCCGTGGACGGTGTCGGCCAAAGGTGGCGGGAAAATCGACTACGATAAGCTCATTGACCAGTTCGGCTGTCAGAGGATCGACCAGTCGCTCGTCGACCGTATCCACCGCCTCACCTCACGTACTCCCCACGTGTTCCTCCGCCGCGGGGTCTTCTTCGCCCACAGGTCTCTCTCTCTCGTTGTCTTTGGTTTTCAATCATTATAAATTTGACATTAAAAATAAACACAGAAATGGAGTTGATAGTGGACTGCATGCGAGTGCAGGGACTTGAGTGAAATTCTTGATGCTTATGAGAGAGGAGAGAAGTTCTATTTGTACACGGGAAGAGGACCTTCCTCCGAGGCATTGCATTTGGGTCATCTTATCCCTTTCATGTTCACTAAGTAAGTCCTACCTTACTTTCTGCTTATCTTTTTTGGCTAGGGTTTAACAGACAGATGCTATGTACACACTCATATGTATGTATGTGTATATATAATCAGTGTCTTTGTATAGTAAATTTGTGACGATTTATCACTGAAATGCTTTTTGCAGATATTTGCAAGAGGCCTTCAAGGTTCCTCTTGTTATTCAACTTACTGATGATGAGAAATGCATGTGGAAAAATCTGACTGTGGAAGAGAGCCAGAGACTCGGCAGGGAGAATGCCAAGGACATTATTGCTTGTGGTTTTGACGTAACAAGAACCTTCATTTTCTCTGATTTTGATTATGTTGGTGGGTAAGTAACCCATATGTACGTTTAACTCCATTACTAATTTAATACTTCTGCATGTTGACATGTTGTTCAGTTTGTGTTTCAATTTTTTATCAATGGCCTAGAGTGTGCTATGCAAGCCTTCATTTACTTTTCTGCCCAAGTTAGTGGTTTGAGATTTTGGGATTCTATGCAAGCCTCTTTTTTTTTTTTTTTTTTTAATAGAAAAATCTTGTTTGCTTTAAAATCCTTAGTTTCTTAATGAATTTACGTCAAAGGGCCTCGTGAATTTAAAGTTAATGTTGGATGTTCCACCAAGTGATCACCTTATGAGATGCAAACTGCTTGACAAGCTTCGATGGGGAACCTTCTGTTTTCAAACTTTGACAGGGGCGTGATTCTATCATTCATGAATACTGTGTCTAAGTGTGTGTTGTAACACCTTGCTGACTGATTCTATGTTTAATTTTCTATGCAGTGCCTTTTACAAGAACATGGTGAAGGTTGGAAAGTGTGTCACATATAATAAGGTGATTTACAATCTTTTCCCTACGAGCATTATTTTTTATAGATATTTGGTGTACCTCCTTATTCAAGTTTTTGTAATCATCTATCCAGGTTGTTGGAATTTTTGGTTTCACCGGTGAAGATAATATTGGAAAAGTTAGTTTTCCACCTGTGCAGGTATTTTCTTGGCTATGCTGCGTATGATAGTGAATCATGTAATTTTTGTTACTTGTTTCTGATTAGTTCCACGAAAATAGTGAAGCTAATATCTGTTCTATTTTTATACTTTTATGAAACATCACCTCTTGTAAGTCATATTAAGGAGATTCAATGTGGTTATGTGTTAATGCAGGCAGTTCCATCATTTCCAAGTTCCTTTCCACATCTTTTCGGTGGCCAAGACAATCTTCGTTGCTTAATTCCATGCGCGATTGACCAGGTATAAATGATAGGAATAATTCTCAGAGCATGAATTGTTAACTAATGATTGAAAGCGGTCAAGTTTTTTCAGTTTTTATAGATAGGTATAGTTTATGTGCCCATGATAGCAGTGTACAGTAAATTTATGTTATTGTGCAAGTTCTGTTACTATTTAGGAGAACATATATTGGTTAGTTTGTGGGAGATTTTTTTCCTTTTTTATATGACTAAATTTGTAGGGAACCACCTCACCTTTAAATGTAACACCTTTTGAGAGGATAAAACATGGAGAGTGGGATAATTATAGTTTTAGTAACGTTGTGTGCTCATTTGTTTTAGTGAATGCTGTTTTTCTTACTTTCTTTTATTTACTAATACCATGTTATATTTGTTTGCGATTTGTCCAGGATCCTTATTTTAGAATGACACGAGATGTCGCTCCACGGATTGGATACCAGAAACCTGCATTGATTGAGTCTTCTTTCTTCCCTGCCATGCAGGTACTTTATGGTTTTGGCACATAATACATGTGTGCTACTTAAAGTGGTTCCTAAATTTTTAAAGGGGATAAGAAAGATACAATATTTAAATTAGCCAGCTGAATTTAGTTGATGATTTTTATGCAGAATCTGACTTTCTGTATTTGTTTGGCTGTTTATTTATCTGATTTTTTTTCTTTTATTTGACCAATGATTTTGCACTAGAGACTTAAATTATTCCACATATGTTTCATATGACCAATGTTTTCCAGTGGGGGGTGCTAAATTTTGATGTTGGCAGATATGTTTAAGCCCTAATGCGGACTTTGGAGACACTACCTGTATGGATTTGCACACACATAAACATGAATATATCATTGTTCACAGGGAGTGTAGAAGGACCTTAATTAATAAAACAAAAGTTGATTATTGTAATATGAATATTCAGCTTTGAAAAGAAGTAATTGCTGGTGAAACTGGTCATGCAAAAATTGGATGATGTGGTATGCATGTGATTGCTGATATATTTCCTGGAATGTGGATACTTTCAGGGAGAGACCGGTAAAATGTCGGCCAGTGATCCAAATTCTGCCATTTATGTAACTGATTCTGCAAAGGAAATTAAGAACAAGGTTTGCGTTTGCTGTTGCTGTTGCTGTGGGTTTATTTGTACAACCTTTCTATTTACTAAGACTTGCACAATCTTTATTGATGTTCTCTTATTCTAGGGCCAAAGTCTTTAATTGATGCAAGGTTCAAAGTGTAACCTTTTAAACTCCTAGTGAAAAACATGCTTCTCTATTTCTTCAAATAGCTGTCTTCCCTTTCTGAAACCACCATCTACTCGTCTTAGCTTTCCCACACCACCAAACTGCAGTTTCACAGTGCCAAAATTTTCTACCTGAAATCACAGTCCAAATGGTCCAAAAATTCTTCAGGATTAACAAAATAAAGAATTTGTGTGCATATGCAGATAAACAGGTATGCATTTTCTGGTGGACAAGATTCAATAGAGAAACATAGAGAACTTGGAGCAAATCTTGAGGTATTTGAATTGTCTCACATGTTAGTAATAGAAATTTGTCCTCCCCAACCGGTTTGAGAGTGTTATTGTTGCTGGATCTACTACCTTCCCTTCTCATTATAGATTGTCCAAGCAAGAAAAACAATTCTGCTTATCTGTCTGCACTTACATGCCAGTTTGATTCATGTCTTATAAGATTTGTCGGTCAGTACTTGGTGCCATTAACTTATTGAGGAATGATTTTATCTTCTGGACATTATTCAGGTAGATATACCATTCAAATATCTTAGTTTTTTCCTGGATGATGACGCTAAACTCGAAGAGATAAGGAAGGTGAGACTGGTATCCTAATGAACTTGTTTTTTTAATAAATAATTTTTTTTATTAGTACAAATGATGCCTTCTTGTTTTGCTAATTCACTTCGGGTACTATTAGGAGTACGGTGCAGGATGCATGCTGACAGGTGAAGTTAAGCAACTACTTATTCAGGTTTTGACTGAACTAGTTGAAAGACATCGTAGGGCTAGGGCTGCTGTGACTGATGAGGTAAGCTTGTGGCGCTAAGGATTGATCATTCTCTTGTTATTTGTCACTGTGCTGATTCTGGCCGCCCATATAGATTTTGAAAGATGCTTGTTGGCACATGGCATTGAAAGCAAACATTTTGAATTATATGAAATCTCAGTTATGACTTAGAAGGATTGATGAATGTTTTTGCATATTTTTCAGATGGTGGATGCATTTATGGCAGTGAGGCCCCTACCCAATATGTTCAACTAAAGTTGAGGCAGAGAGAAATCTACACACATCCATGAATATTTATCTTACAATTTTTGTGTCAACGATCTGTTTGTCTGGATAGTACTCTTCAAATTTAGATCTAGTCATATTGATTGTTGATGTTCAAACACAGAAGTTGTGAAGGTTTCTACGACAACATTTTTATAACAGTCATTAATTGAAACTCAATTTGAGCTTGAGCGCAATGGTTTTAAGTTTGGTTTTGTATGATATTGTGCCCTAAAGTGCTGTATCTGCAGATATTTTTTTAATGGTAGCTGTATTTTCACATCTATTGTCAGGTTAATGTAAGGGATGAAACAGTTGTGAGCAAAGTTATAATTGTTAATGTTACCATCTTCATCAACTCTCAACTGGAGCAAAAATTTCAATTGCAGAATCCATTCGAAAAACTGCAACTGATCATCTCCGAAAGGGGTTAATTGTTTTATTAGTACCTGAATTTAGATCCGTTTTGTATTTGAGTCTCCCAATTTCCAAAATCATTCTCGTGGTTCTTCAACTTTAGTTTTGTTAGTACAAATGGTCACGTCATCAATTTTGTTAACTTTTTTGTTAAATGTAGGGGCAAAATAGTATTTTTGTATTAAATTGATTAAAATATGAATAAAAATAAAAATTAAACTCTCTCTCTTGCTCTCTCTCTCTCGTTTTCTACTCCCTCCGAACTTGGTTTTTTATTTGATTTTCTTTTATTTTTATTAAAGATGTGATTTTTTAATTCATTTTTTTGGTTTTAATATAAAAATATCATTTTGCCCTTGCATTTAATAGAAAAAGTTAACAAAATTGATGGTATAACTATTTGTTCTAACGAAAGTGAAGTTAAGGGACCACAGGAAAGATTTTGGAAATTGAGATACTCAAATGCAAATCGGATTTAAGTTCAGGGACTAATAAAACGATTAACCATCTCCTAAATTACCAGTATCATTCTTTATATATAAAAAACGCAATGATTTTTGCATTTAAGGGTTTTAGTGATGAATGTTTGCATTTTGAGGTTTCATGATTGAATTATTGCATTTTAAGGTTTCGCTGATGAATTTTCACACTTTGGAGTTTTATGAATGAATTTTTGTATTTTAAGGTTTCAAAAATTATTTGCATTTTGGGGTTTCATGAATGAATAAGAAGAACAACTTTCATAAGTGCAATAACAATGACATAAATTAAACACACAACATAAACGAAACACACAATATAAATGAAAACGCACTACATAAATTTAAACAAGTGGCTCATTGCCTCTCTCCTTGCCATTTCCAAAGGTCGTTGATCAAATCATTCTTTAGAGTGTGATGCACGTGCGGAGATGAATGGATTTTGTGTACCTATTATGTAAGAAAATAGGCATGTTACTTTGTAATAGAAATTTTTTTACACTTTCTATAAATTAAAAACATATTTACAAAATAACATACCTATATAGTGTAAGAAAATAGGCATGCTAATATTAGGTTGACTGTGGAATCTGACTATTTTAGGGCTGCTTATATTATTGTTACGGTACGTAATTATGAATTGATTAATTTGCTTTAGTTAGAGAAATGTTATATTATTCTAATGATGGTAATGTATGTATCATGGTCTCATGGAGTGGTATAATATAATTTTGCAGAATTCGGCGCCGGAGCCGGATGGGATAAGGTCTGGTGCGCAGGCAGTTGCATTGCAGATCTCCGGGGACAAGGCAGCCTTCTACAATTGCAAGTTTATTGGATTTCAGGACACTCTTTATGATTACAAGGGCTTGCATTTCTTCAAGGACTGCTACATTCAAGGAACCGTAGATTTCATCTTCGGAAAAGGAAAATCTCTCTACTTGGTATGTATTGTAATAATAATGCCTCATAGTACCATACAATAATTTCTCCGAGTTCAAATCATATGCTTGCTTATGTTAACTTTATGCATTGTAGTATTTATTTAAAAAAATATGTCGTTCTAATTAAATTTTAATTTATTGGCTCAAATTGTGACACTAAATAATATGATATATTTTGGTGCAGAATACTAAGATACATGTCCTAGAGCAGAATATTACGGTGGTAACGGCACAACAAAGGGATGCTTCGGAGGATAATGGATTTTCATTTGTGCATTGCAAAATAACTGGCACTACATGTGTGAGGGGTACATACTTGGGCAGGGCTTGGGGGAGCAGCCCCATCGTGGTGTTTGCCTACACTGACATGGCCAACGTCGTCCATCCTGAACGATGGAATGACTTTGGCCACCCTGAACGTTCCAAGTAAGTAAGCAATTTTCATTATTTTTCTAAAATGTTTTCTTATTCTTGGATCCATTTTTTATTGTTATTATTTACATATATATATATATGTGGTAATTTTTGCAGCAATATGTTCTATGGAGAGTTTCAGAATTCGGGTCAAGGGTCAAACATAAGCGGGCAAGCACGCTACACCAAAAAGCTAAGCGATGCAGAAGCCAAATCTTTCCTCAGCCTTGGCTATATTCAGGGTTCCAAATGGCTTCTTCCTCATCTAAATACAAGATCCAGACATAGTATAGTTTAAGAATAGGAAATATATACATACATTTATAGTAGTTTCCCAATTTGTTAGGTGAGATTGAGCAAAGAGCGTTGCCAATCCAATACGTACATACAATACATGCACACAAGCAATATGTACATCTCATATATGTATTCGACTACGGAAAAAAACTAATGTAGTTAAGTAGTTTGCCGTGAAACTTTCCGTTTATGGTTTGAATTTATAGCCATGGAAATTTTATATATAAGATGAACATGTTCACATTATTTTACAAGTTGTGACGTTATTTCTTCATCTAGAATGTGCACAAGAATTCCTAATTTATTTGTAAGTTTCCTATTAAAATATACACAATAACTTCCTTTGGGCTAGCCACCAGAAGTCAATTGCAAGTCTCTTTCGGGCAAGAATTCTATAGTGAGGGCCTTAGCTAAGGCCTTAAATGAGGTCATATCCTTTAACCGTTAAATCAAATTAATTAGTTTAATCTAACGGTTATGAGATTATGCCTCATCTGCAAGCCCTCACTATAGAATGACTCCTCTCTCAAGTAGCTTCCAAGAAGGACCATGTCCATGCAAGGGTATTAAAAACCTTTAATTTTTGGAGCCCATTACGCGTCAATTTTGTCTCTCCTCTTTGTTGCCTTTTTTCTTTTTGGGTCTGATCTGAACGAGTCAAATTTGTCCTCCTTGGTTTTCTGGTTTCACACCACTAGTTTCCTTTCTTCACATTGTACCTCCTTGGTTTGGTTTCACACCACTAGTTTCCTTTCTTCACATTGTACCTCCTTGGTTTTCTGGTTTCAAACCACTAGTTTCCTTTCACACCACTAGTTTCCTTTCTTCACATTGTACCTCCTTGGTTTGGTTTCACACCACTAGTTTCCTTTCTTCACATTAATGAACACTTGTTGACCATAAAATGAAGTTTCCATTGACTGGTGCCCTTCGAAACTTCCTAGTACCTCACACAGTCCAGGGGCTGTGTTTGTGGAAAATATCAAAGTTGGTATGGCAACAGTTGGGTTTCCTCCCAAATATAAACCTCTTCACAATCTATAAAACGGGGAAGTTTTGCTACACAAAAAGCAACAAAGAAAAGAAGAAGAAGCAAAAAAATTAAAAATTAAAAAAAAATCATGAAGGCTGCAGGCTCATTGGGTGTGGTTGTATGCTTGTTCTTGGTGGTGGTTGGTGTTTTGGTTGAGGTGGTTCCAATGGCAGAAGGGGACACCACGCCCAGCCAATGCAAGCAGGAGAAGGACCTTCTTGTGAGTGCGCATGCAAGAGCGCAGTGATCAATAATATAATCGGGCGCAGCCCCTCTCCATACTGCTGCCAACTTGTCAGGGTGACACATGTCGAGTGTGTGTGCCCTTATGTCACTCCCAAACTGGCCAATTTGATCCCTCTCCGCCGTACGATTAAGCAGATTGAAGGCTGTGGAAGAAGCGTCCCTCGCAACTTCAAGTGTGGCAGTGAGTTCATCTCTCTCTCTCTCTCTCTCTCTCTCTCTGCCCTCGGTAATCTTTAACATGAATTGATTAATCTTATAGCTGATCTGATTACTCTTGGTTAATCTTATTTTTTTGGCAGGTATCACCACTCCACCATAAGATAAGAAGACGAATATTCTAGCTAGCTACAAGAATATATTATTATGCTTGATTATCAAATAAAGAATAATCTAATTAGCTTTCTTTCAAGCTATGAGTTACATAAATTTGAAGTGCACAATCATGTGCACTAATTATGTATTGGAGAATGGAGGGAAGGGGACAAAGATGTATGACTTTCCTCAAATCAAAGTGAATTATAAGATGTCTCTCCTATATATTCCGATATTATTGACACGATTGTTCAATCTCAACCGTCTATCCATTCAAGGACTAATATCAGCCATTCATTTTATTGGAATAGTTTTTAAGGACTTTATTGTCTGGACTAAAACTTAAGACGCTACATAAAATAACGATACTGGGCTTGGATATTAGAGGATCATACGTACATGAAGGGCATGTTTGTACCCGATTTTGGTAAACGGACCAAAAATGGTCTCAAGTTTTAAAAAAGATAAAACCAAACCCACCAGCGTTTGTCTTTTCTTAAGATCATCCCTCTCCCAATTGGGCCTCTCATAATAATCAAAAAAATTCCCAAGTCATAAGAATCAGGCCTTTGTCTTGCGCCACAAGTTTAAGAAATTGGTAAGTGTGTTTCCTAAGCCCACGTGGGAGGTCGAAGGGGGTTATCACATTTAATGACGACTTGACCTCCTTCTCTTCCAGCAAGAAAACAAGTCGTACTGAAGCCCCCAAAACCAGAAAAGATCAAAGTTGCCAGCCAGGTTTTCAAGTACAAAGAAATCAAATCAAGAAAGCTCCACAAAGGAAACCGACGGTTCTTGCCAGAAGTCCTTCATCATTCCCTCTATGAATTGGTTAAGATCAGCAAACTAGCAGCTGACCTTGAACCATAAGCCAAAGGTCTTGTCACAATTTTCTATCATTACAAGTTCCTCCACCTCTATAAATAATGAAGGTCTACCTCAGAAGAAGGGGATTCTCTCTCCAAAACCAGACGCAACGTCTTAAAAAGCAATTGAAAAGCTTTAAAGATAACAAGCTGCCTACTTCTTTTTTAGATAACCAGTTGACAACTCATGCGCTTATCTCTCATAGCTCTACCATCTCCATGGTATAATTTTTTTTTTAAGACATCTTTTTGGTTTCAATGCATGTAATCGTTTGAGCTGGATTGAGAAATCTCCAGTATCTTTTCCTTTATTTTGTAATTCGGATTCACGGATAATTAATGGATTAATTAAGGAATCTTCTGTTATTTAGTTTAAGGTTCAAAGTAAACATAAGTTGCAAAAGAACCTATATAAATAAAATTCATTTGATTATCTGAAGACCGAATTATGGACCATTCTAATACATAAAATTGGATTCCCGCCCTTTTACCCCTCGAATAGTCCAGAAAAACTAGCTTTCAGGCCCAAAAGGGAATAGGGACCCGAAAGGAATAATAAAAGAAAGGAACAAGAAGTTAACTTGGGCCCGAAATTGCACCAACGGACCCGAGTTGACTATTGGTCTAGTTGAAAACGAGAAAATATTGAGGCAGGTTAATAAAACCCAGGTAAGGGTTTCTACTAACCATAAACTTGGTCTTGCTCTGTTGCCTATTCAGGTACTGCTCATACTTGTCAAGGTGATACTCATGAAGGAGAGAATATTGAAGTCCTCTTCATTGAGGAGTAGAAAAGAATCTATCTAGGCCAGTATCCCCCATCTAGCACAATGGCTTGGTAAGGTCCAGAAAGGAGGCGCAAGCTCCATCAGCATTGATCATTCATATCCACACCAGATCTATTGGGTTGGTTATATACTCAATAGTGGCACGCCTACGCAACGACGAGAATTAGTATTAAAAGAAGTTGACAGATAGGGCCTTGATCGGGCCCTTGCGCTTTGGCAAACTGATTCAACTTTCAATTTTGTTCGAAAATTGAAGGAGTCCTCTCTGCGAGCCAGGAGACACCATCCAATCAGGGCATTGGTGTTGATTCACCAAATTCCTCTTCGTTCCTCAGAGCAGAGCTGACCCTAGTGGTTGGCAAAAAGGAACGAAAGATGGAAAAAAGGACCAATAGGGCATATATAAGATAATGATACTGGTGTTTCTGTACATGAATTATAATATTATTATTGCTAAAAATTAAATAAATAACAAATTATTAAGAAAGAAAAATAAAGAATAAGTTATGAGGGCAGTGATTGCGATATGGTTATTGTGGTGGTGCTTGGTCGTGGTGGATGTATAATAAAATTCATTTATTTAACCTATAGAAGGTTAGGACCATCTCCATGGTATAATTTTTTTTTTAAGACATCTTTTTGGTTTCAATGCATGTAATCGTTTGAGCTGGATTGAGAAATCTCCAGTATCTTTTCCTTTATTTTGTAATTCGGATTCACGGATAATTAATGGATTAATTAAGGAATCTTCTGTTATTTAGTTTAAGGTTCAAAGTAAACATAAGTTGCAAAAGAACCTATATAAATAAAATTCATTTGATTATCTGAAGACCGAATTATGGACCATTCTAATACATAAAATTGGATTCCCGCCCTTTTACCCCTCGAATAGTCCAGAAAAACTAGCTTTCAGGCCCAAAAGGGAATAGGGACCCGAAAGGAATAATAAAAGAAAGGAACAAGAAGTTAACTTGGGCCCGAAATTGCACCAACGGACCCGAGTTGACTATTGGTCTAGTTGAAAACGAGAAAATATTGAGGCAGGTTAATAAAACCCAGGTAAGGGTTTCTACTAACCATAAACTTGGTCTTGCTCTGTTGCCTATTCAGGTACTGCTCATACTTGTCAAGGTGATACTCATGAAGGAGAGAATATTGAAGTCCTCTTCATTGAGGAGTAGAAAAGAATCTATCTAGGCCAGTATCCCCCATCTAGCACAATGGCTTGGTAAGGTCCAGAAAGGAGGCGCAAGCTCCATCAGCATTGATCATTCATATCCACACCAGATCTATTGGGTTGGTTATATACTCAATAGTGGCACGCCTACGCAACGACGAGAATTAGTATTAAAAGAAGTTGACAGATAGGGCCTTGATCGGGCCCTTGCGCTTTGGCAAACTGATTCAACTTTCAATTTTGTTCGAAAATTGAAGGAGTCCTCTCTGCGAGCCAGGAGACACCATCCAATCAGGGCATTGGTGTTGATTCACCAAATTCCTCTTCGTTCCTCAGAGCAGAGCTGACCCTAGTGGTTGGCAAAAAGGAACGAAAGATGGAAAAAAGGACCAATAGGGCATATATAAGATAATGATACTGGTGTTTCTGTACATGAATTATAATATTATTATTGCTAAAAATTAAATAAATAACAAATTATTAAGAAAGAAAAATAAAGAATAAGTTATGAGGGCAGTGATTGCGATATGGTTATTGTGGTGGTGCTTGGTCGTGGTGGATGTATAATAAAATTCATTTATTTAACCTATAGAAGGTTAGGAGGGGAATATCTGAAGTAATTTGATTTTTGGCTATTATATATGGGAATGGAAACATAAATGTGCAGTGAGGTATTATTCATTTGCCTTAATTAGGTGATTGGTAAACGATTAGCAACCAAATAAAGATCCAGTGGCATGATTTGTAAATAAATCAACCTACATGGATACATTTTATCTCAAATTTAAAATTAGGTTTTACTTAAACATTGTATTAATGGTAAGTTATTGTCTAGAGTTTTAAACTTGTAAGTTATTGTCTAGAGTTTTAAATTACGTTTTAAGAAATTATAACAAAGCTTATAAGATTGCACATTTTCCAGATACAGGCCATCATTTATTTTTATTTTTTTTAACAGATAGGCCATCTTGGATATATGCATAGTTAATGCTCTACTTTCTTTTGTTTTTTAGGGTGCTAATTTTTACACACCTTTTTAATTTTCTCACTTCTCTTTTGTCCACTTACACTTCATTTTAATGGTAATTACAAAAGTATTAAAAAGCAAAAAGGTGCAAGTGTTAGCTCCTTTTTTTGTTGTTAATGTATAATAGAGCCAATGAAGAGGGATAAATTCTGCTAAGTAATGCTCCATTATATTATTTTTCACTTTTCTTCAATATAAGATATTAGAGGAAAGAAATCGAATACATAACTTTTAGGTATAAGAATAAATGTTCTTAACAACTTGAGCTACCAGCTTAATCCCTCGTAACTTGATGAGCACCAAATTTCTTCTTACAAGGGAAAACACACATACATAAATCCCCTTTGCAATACCCTTGAGCTGTTGTTCCAACACTTCTGGCATATTTTTCCAAGCACAAGTCATCGCAATTTTTCTCAACGCAATTGGGCATATTCTCTACCCTCCCGCAAGCATGACCTGTATATTTCGCCACAGCCTCATCTCCTGCAGTACTCATTCAACACATTTTATGGTTTGAGTCATATCTTATAGCAACAAAAACAGTATTATACAATGTAAAGGTTCCTAAGAAATATTTCATTTGACAAAATTCTATGAAAAATGAGATTAATTCTTGTACACATTTTCTTCTTTGACAAATATTATGTCTCTTTAGCAGCAACAAGTTCGTTTAATATATGAACCTCGACCACACAACACATTTTGTCTACAATTAATCTAGTTAATCGATGATCTAGATTCATAATCTAGCAATGTAAATATTTTATATTGCGAGACACTGACAAGCAAACATTTCCATGTTTCGACCAAAAAAAAGAAGCAGCATTTCCATGTATATGCATATAGCATGAAGAAGCATTATTTACCTACAGTACAGAAGAAGAGAACCAACAGAAGCATGGAACAGACGTGGAGGCTCTTCATGGTTTTATCTCTCTAGCTATTTTGAAGAATATGGATCATGCATATATTTTAGGGAGGCGATCTTGTTTATATTTATATATGCAAAAATCTCTTCAGAGCAGTAATTGGGAATTAGGGTAAAGGACCATATATAAAGAACATCGTTTTTTTTCCCTTATATATATATTTTTTGTCAACTGAGTCCATTAGTGTATAGGTAATATGAATCTTAATGCTCATTTATATTTGTTTTCGGTTTCGAGTTGAAAATCATTCTTCATTCATTGTACCAATTCTAATGGAATTAAAATGAGCATTGCACATTTTGCTCTTTTTATGGGGAGTTCTATCTTTTGGTTCCAAGAGCCCCTAAATTTTCTCATAGATGTTCTATTTGAGGATTGTAACAAGTAGCTTTTCGGGTATGGGCCCGCCTTTTGGTTCCCCAATTTATTATGGTGATTCTCTCCAAAA